CATTTTTCTCTTTGATTATCCTCATAAACATATTGGCATTGATCATCAAGCAGGTGAATTCAATCAAGGACATAAGTCACCTGTATATTCTCCTTTATTTTGTTCATTCTTTTAATGTTTATTGATTGTCTCTAGTCGTAGTTAATGTCACACATTGGATATTATCGTTTGTTCATCGTACGGTCGAACGAGCAAACATAAGGTGTGATTTTATGTATCACCTTTTCTTCTGTCTTTTTGTTTTTCATACTCAATAAATCAGCGAAAGCCTTGGGCTTGATCGTATTGAGTAAAAGGATAAAGGTGTCGTATTAGTTAACAGAAAATTTCATTTCAATGACGATGAAAGAAAAAAACAAGTTTTTTTGATGATGGAGAAGAAGAAGAAGAATTGGCAACTTTATTTTATTGTTAATCAATCCACTCGAGTGACGAATAAATTTCTTCTATTTATTTTTAATTTGATTCACTTCTAAGAATGTTTATTTGTCTCTCGCTTTTCTTTTCTTTTCTCTCGAGAAGACAGACAAGATCCTTTTCTTGAAAAGTGTCTCCTTCTCTCCAGTGTAATTGACAATGAAGAATTAGAATGAAATCGTTTCAATTCCTCGTGTTCATATCCACACATAGATTTACTAGCATTGTTGTTGTTTTTTGTCAATTATCAAGTTCAATGATCCACGAATTGTCAAACAATGATGTTCAATAGACAAAAAATTCAACATGCTGAGCATTAATTGAAATCAAGTTGACGAAGAAATGAATGTCTAGAGAGAGAGAGAGAAACAGCAAATCTATTCCATTCACATTTGCCCTCTTTTGTCTTTTACTATTATCAAATTGCTTAATCATAACAGGAAATGAGGCACATCAGGTAACTCGTACTATCTTTCATTTGTGTTGATGTCGATGTCATCGATCATCGTTATCGAATTAAAAAATCGTGTCATTGCTACTACGTACTGATTAAAACAGGCAACGAACATCGGAAGTAGTCTATCATCAAATTCACGACACTAAGATATAAATGCGAGCAATCATTGCACCTGTCATTTGTTCGCCTTGTTTTCCCTCTGGACTCGTTCCGATTCAATTTGTTTCACCTGAATAGACGAACTAGACAGACAGATAGCGTGCCATCTTAAAATTCATCACTGATGATAGTGATAGACGTGCGCGATATTCACTACACACCAAAGGAGAAAACAAAACTGTCTTGTTTTAAACAGATTAGTTACTCATCTCATATGTGCAACAGATCCATTACAAATGAGCGGGTCGCGTGTCCTTGTTATCATAAATTTTGCTCTTTTTTGAGCATCATCA